TGTGTGAGTGAGTGAGTTCCAGGGAGATGAGAAGATGTCGACGCAGCCTGGTTCTGATGGCTATCATGAGCAGCTGGAGCAGGACTGGACCTGCTGCTGATACCGTCGGATTCTTTGCAGGGTTATTTGAAAATATGAAGCAGAATCAGAACGTTACATCAAGTTTGAATTTGAGCGCGAGCCTCTGACTTCCCCCTAAACATGCTATCGTAGCTAGCTGCTCTTTATTGCAGCTACGACGTTGTTAGCGGTCGGATTTATTTGCGGAGCCTCCCCTTTTTCTCAGCGAGCCTCACGCTGTGAATTAGAGCCACCGCTGTAGTCGCATTTAAACCCTCTGCTCCCTCGCTCTGCTCAGCTCTTTGAACTTGTTTTCTCTTTTATTAAACTTTGCCGCCCGCATTTTTGGCCTCTTTGGCCTCCCACACTTTTTAATCACGCCAGAGCTAATGTCTTTAATTTATTGTTCATTTGGACATTTTCCCCAGGCTCCAAGCGCCTCTAAGATCATGAGTTTGTTTACTTTTTTTGTGGTGTTTTTCAGCTTCGCTGTTGTGGAAGAATGCGTCTGTGTCTGTGTGTGTGTGGAAGGTGGAGGGACAAAAGAGGAGAACAGAGAGGAAGAAGAGTGAGAACTTTGCTAATCTTTCTACAAAGATAGCTGAGGGCCGTGTGACTAACATGTTGGCTTTACTGTAAACCATCATGGCTTGTTACTTGTATGATTAAAAAAACCCTCTTTTTATATAAACAGGTTCTCATTTGCTGTTAGAAACTGCGAATTTCACATGAAGTGAAACTCGTTTTATCATTTGTTCAGTAGAAGCACCTCGGCTGTGAACACATGGTTTCACTTTAAGGTCAAAATCGTTTACATGATTCTTTGAAAAGGCATTCGTTAAATAAAAGGGCAGAAATAAAACTCCTAATGTTGTCACACTCTATTAGTGTTTACTGTCAGATTTTAGCATCAGAAAGCGGTAATGGAAACAACAAAGTGCTCATTTGAATTTTGTTCCATGATATAAAATAATAAACTGTAACACAAGCTGTTTTTCTTTATTGTGGTAAAAATTACGATCTTGGTTTTCACACAAAATGTATTTTTAACAAGAATAATGGAAGCAATTTTTTATTTTTTTGGAGGTTTTTCAGTTCTGGTTTCTGATCGAATGTAGTTGGAGGAACACGCAAAGACTGAGGTGTAACGGCAGCACCGAGTTCTCCAGGTTCAATTCCACCTTCTGCTTCATCTGAGAAATAAATACATAAACAAGAGCGGCTTGAATCAGTTTTAGAAACAGTAAATCTACCTATGTTTTCGATTTGTATGTCTTTATTTAGGGCTCGACTCCACACTTAAGTGGAGAGTCCTGATGCTTTTTTGAGAACTGCAAATCAGTGAGTCGGTCCCACAGCTTCCGGATATTTTTTTATTTTTTATTTACAGAGTGTCAGATATTGCCGGGGAGCTTTTGTTTGAACAACAGCTGCTCATTTGGCCCGGGTGTGCTGGCACCAAGCCGCCGCTCAGGCCTGGCAGCGCTGCTAATGGCATTACACATATTAGACGTTTGGCTGACACTTCCCAATCAGGAAACACCGAGCCTGGAGTTGACTTCTGCAGGCTCCCTGGCTCTGTTTACGTCAGGCGAGTTGCGACACATTTTTCCACGCCGTGGAACATGATCTGAGTTCTGGAAATCCACTTTACACGTGTTGGTTTATCATAGAAAATCCAAGTAAAATGCAATGAAGTTTGTGGATTTAAGCATGACAAAATGTGGAAAGGTTTGAGAGGAATGGATAACTTTGGAGGCAAATGGAACCTGTACCAGTTACTCATCTTTGAATTAATAAAAAAAATACTTTCTTAGTTTTCAATATTGTTGCCTCCCAAAAATGATGTCACTTTTTAGAAAAAGTTATTCTTTTTGTCTAAATCCATCTTTCGGCAATAAAAAGCTGTCTTTTTTTTTTTTTTTTTGGATAAATATGTGTTTCTAAACACACATATTAAGGAATGTCTGAGTTTCCAGATCAGCCTGGTTACTCCTCGTTAAAGATGCCAAACTTGTCTGAAAGCTTATCACAAGTAAAACTTTTTCAAATTCTCGTTTTTCTTTAAGAGTGCCCTTTGTGTTTGAACAGTGGCATCTTGTGATGATGTTTGCTCTGCTGGTGGGAGCTGGGCGACACTTGGCCAGGGGTGGAACTGATGGAGACGGGGAAGGAGGCGGGAGGCGGGGTCAGGGGTCAGGGCGGAGTTGATGGGTCGGGCTTGGAACTATGATAACGGCTTGCAGTTCTGGTTTAAACGTAGTTAACGCTGAAAAGATTTCAGAGTTGCTAACTTGGGTAGCAACATGAATGTAACATTTTCATTCATCCATTTTTTCCCCCCCATACATACGTCATAATGTGTAATGGTGCTGTGGGATGGCAGTCTGCCTGAAGGATACAAGCTGTTTATCAAAGCATAAAAACAAATTCCTTGTGCGTTTGTAACTATTTCTTTGGTCTTTGATAAGTGAAGAAAATAGCATAAGATTAAATAATCATTCATGGAGTGGATTTAACTGGACTGGACTTTGCAGTGTTATTGTTGATTTATATTAACAAAGTGAACTGAACTGACAGCTTGTCGACATTTTCTTTCCTGTAATTCCCCCTGACGTCAGCTTGTGAGAGATATAATATATTGGATGTTAAAACTCTATGTCTGATTCATATTATTTAAAAAAATGACTAAAAGTGAGAGCTGTGTTGCTTTTTTCTGAAGAAAGCCTGAAATAATAACATCATCTCTCAAGGAATAGACACATTTCACCTACAGGTCAGATTGGAGGCCTTGTTTGTGCTTTTATCATTTTGGAATATCATTACTTTGGCGAAGCTGTTAAGCAGATATTTAAGTTGATTATATTTTTGAGCTATTTTTATGGCCACTGCCACACTGTTCCTCATCTTGCTGTGGACGGTGGCATATCTCAAACATGATTAGGGTTTCAACATGACATACGTGTCTTTTTGAAGTGTGTGTACATTAGGATGAAGGATGTAAAAACAGTGTGCTTCTGTCTCAGAACAGAGTAATTGTACTTTTACTGATGTTGCCATATCATTTGATTTATTTTTCCATAATTATCATTGTCAGTGCTGCTTAAACAATCTTCTCAAGTGGTCAGATGATTATAATTATAATTCTGAAATAAGTAAGGTTATTGTCAGAGCATTTGGCATTCTGAGGTGAGGAAATCCTCATCGGTGCAGATAGAGTGTCTGCATAAAGCAGCATGAGAATGAGTCATGTTATTTTGGGACAAAAGTCGTGTTCCCATTACAAATGCATGTAAAGCTTTGTTGATATTCCAGTAATGTTGAAAAAAACATAATTTTGCAATTTCTGTGTTTCCATTTAATGTAATTAAAATCACATGTGAATAAGTTGTTCATGTGACAAGCCATTAAAAAATATGCCCCGTCATCATCGTCTTACCACTTCCTGTTGTCCTCTTCATCTTTTCCACCAGTAGTAACATCCAGTTGTTGATCATGTGATGCGACAAAAGTGTTTCCATTGTAGTTCTGCGAAATACACTAACAAAAAAATATATACACACAAAAAAAATCCACTGGATTCCTGATTCCTTGGCTTTTCTGTTGAATCCCTTCAGACTCTTTGTCTCTGACTGGAGCTCCATTGGGGGTGTGGAGGAGGATGGAGCGAGGAGGGGAGAGTCCCGTCGCCCAGGGCAGTCCCGAGCGGAGGGGCGGCAGTCCGGACCTTAGCGGGCTCCCGCCGCCAGGAAAGAAAAGCCGACTGGAGCTGAACGGGAGCCCCACCGGGCCACGAACGCGCCACAACGGAGCCCCGCCGCGGCCCCTTGGAGGTAACCGTAGAGCTGACAGAGGAATCTGTCAGCTTCACTGTAGAGGCTGAAGTAACAGTGAAGATACTTGGTATTAGTTATCTTCTACAAATGAAATCTGCAGCATGGAGAGGAGAACTGTCATAAATGAATGGCATACGATGATTTTTTTTCATGGTTTCCTTCTGCCAGAAGGTTTTTAGCAGCGTTGTACTCCAAACCCACAGACAGCCGCTGGCTGCGCTGCGAGCCACATGGGTTGAGTTTGGCTCCGTGTTCCACGCTGTCGTGCTTTGAGAGCCCTGAGCTGTTAATCTATAAGTCAGGGGGGAACTGTATAACACAGGCTTACCAAATAAAGGAGATTGCTCCATATAAACAAGATTTATACAAGTCACTCTGGGTTATCGATCCCAGCATTAACTGCTAAAGTTGCTTCCTCCTTGTGTGCAGTTGTTCATTTGAGTGCCTCCGTGTCGGTGCTGTCATGCTTTTGCAGAAATGTCTCGGTCTTTACCTGTCCTTTCACTTTATGATTAAATGTTGCATCATGAATTCTTCCTGTCCTTTTCCACTCTTTACCAGCTCTACAGAAAAAAAGAAAGAAAGTGACATTGCTAGCCCAGATTAAAGTTTGTTTTCAGTGGCCTTTAGGAGGGTCACGTCCACATTTAATCAAAATGTAAAACATTACAAAATAAGGAATTTGGCTGAGAGAGACACAAATACAGTTACTGATATGTGTGTGAGATGTGAGCTTGTCCAGCGATGCCTTTAGCATAAAGCTTAGCTTTGCTTACAGTCACGAAGGAACAACCAGCAGAGCTGTGTTGTTGGAAGCATGATCACAGCCTGTGATATCCATCAATCTGGCTGGAAAACGCATCACAATGTAATTATTTATTTTTTTTATTTTTAAGCACGGTGGCAAAACATCGAAATTGCTCCCATGTACTGAGGGGAACTGTGTGTCAGCTGTGACCCCTGTGCTGTCCAGGATGGTTGAGATTTCATACTATACTGCTTACATTTCTCTTCACAAGTTCCTTGTTTCCCACGATGGGACAGAATGCTAGCTAGATTCATGAGCCCGTTTCCTCTCCACCTGTCAGTGGCTGCTTATGGTGACTCTCAACACTCTTGGCTTGCTGCTACATTTTGATGGGAACACAGTTTCCTGATGAGACGTTTCTTCTGGGAGTCTGCCTAGAGTACACGTTGAAGCCAATGCAGATATTAATATCGGAACAGTGCATCTCTGCTTTGGATGATATCATTAACATGTGCATGTTGTCTTATGTTTTTTCTGTCTCTTTCCTTTCTGGTTGTGATGTTTGTATTTTGATGCATTCACACAAATAATAGTTTATTTAGTGCCAACAATGCACATCTATGATATTTATTATTATTCAAGCTGTTTGACTCAGTTTTGAACTTTTAGCATGTTAAAATGCTTCGCTGTCCAGTCAAATAGTTAGACTTTGTGTTCTAATAGGGAATAAATCATGGGTTTTCAAGCATCTGCGAGAGCATTAAAATCTAAGTTTGTCCATTGTGATGCATTAAAAAAAACAGAAATATTGTGTAATATCCTGGAGTGTGCCCCAGTATAGGAAAAGATGTAATATTTTAGTGTCTCTGTTGGCAGCTTTGTCTTTAAACGCTGGAAAAAAAGGGAGACAGAAGGGTTTCTTTTATAGGCGTGTTATAAATCCTACAGCATGGAAATTCTGACTAAAGACCTTGGAGAGCACACAGTTTGAAACGTGCAGCACAATAATGAAAATCGATCAATTTATTTTGACGTTATGCGGTCCATTTGATGTAAATATATTTTAGAATTTATGTCGGAATATTCCTCGGACGTCGGATCTGTTTTTTTTTTTTTTTTTTTTCCCTCCAACAAAACAAAACCGTTTTCTGTGGGTTTGAAGAGTTTGTGAAGATAATCCATCTGTGGTTAGGCAGAGTTAAGAAATCGGCAAGGAGGGTCAGGTCTGAGCACGGCGACCGGTGTACAGCAGAAAGAACGAGAAGACGGAGGAGGAGGAGAAGAAACCGTGTGGAGAGAGAGAGGCAGGAGAAGGACGGGGTTTCCTGCGCTCGGTGGAAGCCACGGCTTGTAATAATGACGGGTTGACTTTGAACACAGGAAACTCCTTGTGTCGCCCCCAAAAACCACACGGCTGCTGCGAGGATGGGGGCCAAACGCGCACATGTAGGCCGCGCCACACAGCAGATACCCCCGACTTACAAGCTCACACACCAGCCGCCGTACGCTGCAACACTGCGAACCTGCCAAGACACACACATATCTTATTTTAATATCTCCACTCACTCATCCCTCAACATATTAGAGGGATTAGAGGTTTTGAGGCAACATCGCATCATCCAAACCAGATCATCCAGTCTCAAGATGCCGGAGACGACGGGCGGAGCTGGAGCTGGAGATGGAGAGAGACGGAGGGAGAGGAGCGCGGGTCGGAGGGAGCTGCTCCGTGTTGACAGTTATATTTCCCTGTTGGGGGAAATTCACTTACTTCAATTGGCATGGTCCTCCAGTGTGTAATTCACTCCATGAGAGCCTGGAGGATTGGGAGCTGAGTGATTAATGAGCAGGAAATAGAAATATCGGAATTGACTGATTAAAACAATGGAGGAGATGGATTGGGGTCTCTCTCTCTCTCTGTGTGTGTGTACGTGTGTGTGTGTGTGTGTGGACTTGAACTCTTTACCATCTACTTGAGAGAACCGTGAATGTGTGTGGGTTTGCTTGGCCATACGGTAAAACACCAGCGCCTGTATTATTAGAGCTGGGACGCTGCCTAATGCTCCCAGTCCATCATTTCTTCAGGGGACTTTAAATAACGGCCGGTTGACAGGTGGCCCAAAACCAAAAGCCTTTCAGGAAAAAAGCTCCAGATTGGAGCAGAGGCATTAGTGTGAGAGCAGAGAGCCGAGGAGAGGAAATTTGGGAATTAGACTCTTCCTGAAGAGCAGGTTTCTCCGCTGTTATCGACAGTGTGTTGCCATGGTAATCGATCCCCTTAAGCTGTTTCGCTTTGTGTCGAGATGCAAAACATCAGTGTGGTAGATCAACAGTAGCTGAGTTTTCGGTATAAAAGTGCGCAAAACTTTCTCCATATTCCGCCAGTGCCTAGATATGTTGTTGTTAAGTAACAAACACAATTAAAATCCAACATGAATAAACTTACTCACGCAATAAGTCTTTAAAAAATATGCCGCCCCATCAACCTCCAACTACTTCCTGTCATCTTCTTCCTGGTTTGCATTAGTGGCAACAACGTCTGGTTGTTGATCATGTGACTGGGATGATGCGGGGAAAAAAAGTGTTTCCGTTGCAGTTTTGTGGAATAAATCAATTTTGATTTGACCAAAAATCCACCTGATGATCCCATTTTTTTTTTTTCGAAAAACGAGTTTTTCAAATTGTTTCTGTTTGCACTGTGCGACAATAACCTAAGAAACGCAAATAGAAATCACAGATTAATGTTTTTTTCACGTGATAAATCATTTTTAAAAATCATAATTTTCCTACCACTTCTTTTCTTCTTCATCTTTTCTGCCAGCATCAACATCCAGTTGTTGATCACATGACTCAGGCGATGCAAAAAAAAGAAGTGTTTCCATTCAGTTTTACCAAGTACACTAATTTCCAAAAACAGCCTCATTTTAGCAGCAAAGCTTTTCATCAAAAAACTTTTTTTTTAATTGCTGCATTTCCATTAAGCAAATTTATTTTTGTACTTCCAATTTGTGCAATTCTGTGGTCCATGGAAATGCAGCTAATTAGAACCTGCTAGCTAACACGCAAAGCGCCACGTGTGGTGGCGTGGGCCAGCCTGTGGACGCCCAGTGACTGCAGTCGATTCTTCACGGAGAAAGGCAACAATTAAGCTGTTAGACATTTTGTTAAAAGTTTACAACAAGCCATGTTGGGGACTCAGCAGACGTGAGGACTGAACCGCTTTGGTTAGATGAGACCAGAGTTGCTCTGTGACATGCTCTGCATGGATGAAAGCTTTAGCGTGTCCGTAGCCTAGGCTGAACCCTGTTTTGTGCACCGAGAAATGAAAGTGACTCAGACTGGAAGGGCATTAAGTTGTCAGTAGTCCATTCGCTCCAGTTCCAGTAAACCTTTGCGAGGCACCCGGGTGTCTGAACAGTCTGATTTGGACTCGATGTGGTCCACCTGGAGGCCGGTGACGGCTGGGTAAAATATGTGACCTGCATGGAGAGCATTAGAGGACATTTAGCATCGTAACGGTTATTAATGCCCTAATGAGGGCAGCTGCTGTTATCACAGTGACTGTTTTGTGTATTGGCTTTGCATATCTGTGAGAGGAGTCATTCCTACGAATGCCTATCTAATATTCCGTTAAGCAGCTGAACGGTGCTTTCTAAAACTGCTCTGTCTTATTTATCTGACGTTACTGCCTTAACTACAGGGGGGTCTAAGGTGTTCCAATACATTACAAGTGAAAGCAAGAAGAAAAAAAGAAAAAAAGCAAGTGATCTCAAGCTTCACCGACACCAGATGCACTCCACATGTTTCTCATCTGAGGAGACCAATTTGTGCCGGGAAGATCGTCAATTAATGCCAGGCTTTTAAAGAGAAGTCCTCGTTGTTCTCTTTAACTTGTTGTCGTCTCTCCACAGGTCTGATGATTCCCGTCTTCTGCGTGGTGGAGCAGTCGGACGCGGGGCTTCAGGGCGACGGGTGTGAGGGAAGGGAGGAGCACGCCGAGTTTGTGCTGGTCAGGAAGGACATCCTCTTCTCCCAGCTGGTGGAGACGGCCCTGCTGGCGCTGGGCTACTCCCACAGCTCAGCCGCGCAGGCCCACGGTCAGTCACACACACACACACACACACACACACACACACACACACACACACACACACACATACACACACACACATCAGCTTCCTTCAGGGTTTTGTTATCGCAAAGTATGTTTTATGAGCTTATGCCGTTTGGTACAGTTCATAAATAAACGGTATGAAAAAAAAAAAAGATCTTTTCTTTTGTCACTGCCTGTTTTTATTCCAGGCACAGTTTGCCGGGTCTTATGTCAACTTAAAGATGCCATAGGTCCAAATTCCAGATTCTTAAAGATCCTGCATTCATCTATGCAAAGAAAGCGTCTGCAGCTGCGTTTCCATTGACCAAATAATTGCTCAATTTGACATTTTGAAAATAAATTTGCTTAATGGAAACACAGTAGTCTCGCTTTTTGATAAGACGTTTTGATGCTAAGATGAGGTGAGGTTTTGTGGCCATATTGAAATTGGCTTATTTTGCAAAATTGCAATGGAAACGCTTTGCATCACAGGGCAGCTGATGTTGCCACTGGCACAAAACCATGAAGAAGAAGATGACAGGAATTGCATCGGAGGATGATACGGGCTTGTCTTTTAATAACTTATCGCTCATTCATGTCTGATTTGAATTATGTTTCTCATTTCATTGAAGCATCCCAATTGCAAAATTATTTATTTTGCAACATAAATTTGTTGTATTTAATTGATTTTCTTTTTCGACGTTAGTGGAAAATTGACAGAATGTTGCGCACATCTGCAATGCAAATGCAGCTGCTGCTAGTGGTTACTAGTGGTGACCCAATATGGGATGAAAGGCCATTCAGGAAGGAAGAAGCCAGTATTATGACATTAACATAAAATGATTAATTACTGTTTACAAATACTCTAGGGGACAAACGCCTTCATTTTTGGACTAAAAAGCTGTGAAGTGTGGTGGCAGCAGCATCGTTGTGTGTGAGTGTTTGACTGCAGGAGGGACTGGTGCACTTCACAAAATATAGACATCAGGAAGACACAAAATATTGATTTCAAAACAGCAGCCAGACCAAATTGGAGACTTTCAAATTACCAATGACACTAGGCTTATTTATGAATCGGTTACTAAGTTGCTTACAGACAACATTTTTCTTTGGATAGGCCATTAAACAGTTTCAAACTCATCGAATGCACTAATAACATGTAATTTTCCTGTGTTATAAATGAAATAATCTACCAGTGGAATCAGGACTTTTTCATCAATATTAAGGCATTATTGACTTAAAATGAGCTCCTGTTTCTTTCTAAAAATTATCTTTTTGTCTTATTTCACGTGTACTAAGCTATTTGCACTAGAAACTAGAACAAAAATACTTGGTAAGGTTTGGTGTTTTTGAAGTGTACCCTCCCGATTCCCATCTTTGCTTCCCAGTTAGCTTAAAGTGCTTTCTAACCCATTCATCCTTGATGTAAAGCATAAGCTTAGTCACCAGGAGTGTCAATAAACACGGTAAATGCTTGTTTTTATTCCTTTTTAACTCCTAAAACAGTAAAATGACAGAAAACGTCTGAAAGAAGCTTCTTTTAAGAAGATAAAGCTGAATAGAAACCGCGTTCTCTCTGTGTGAGCTACAGTACTCAGCATTCAAAACAGGACAGCGCCCCTCTCATCAACGATCTGAGGGGAGTGTGTGATGTGAAGTGGTGTGTACAGAGAGCAGACATTGTTACAGTGGCAACAAGCACGAGAAAGCTTGAAAAACATACCAGAGACACAGACAGGGGCTGTGAAAGTCATTAAAGAGTCAACAAAGAGCTGGACAGGAATGTCCTCGCAAGACAAAAATACACTGTGTGCGGGGTACGTGTGAGAATGTTTATGAAGCAGAGAAAACGCTGTAATTTATTGTCGCACACATGGTAGTCATTGCAGCAGGACAGTGTCATTTACTGCTGTCTTCTCTCAAGTATGCAGAATATTCCATCTGGAGAAGTTGCCTCACAACGTTATAAAACGGGACAGCAGAGTGATGGGGGGCAGCAGAGCTGCTGGAGCTGGCTGAGGACGCTGGGAGATCCCCATCTGTTTGAAATCTCCTAACATCGCGTGTGTGTGTGTGTGTGTGTGTTCATGTTGTCCCATTTAATTCTTGTTTCAGCGTGCAGACATATTTATATGCACAGATTTTGTAAACTGCAAAAAAAGTGTCTTTCAAATCACCAATTTGCTATAGCTTATCTTACTTGTAGCTGAAGCTATATTTCTGATTAGAATAATCCTCGAATCAGAATTATAGCTTTTGCCAAACTAATAAACTGCCTGTAACTCATTAGTCTTTTTTTAAAGATCCAGTTATTTAAAATCGATTTTTAATTTTCATCAAAAGACATTCCTGTGTGAGTGATTATTTGATTCTTTCATGCATGTTTGAGAAATCATTGAATCTCCATGACAACCATTAAGCTGTGTAAAACACCTGGGTGGACCTAGCTCTGCCTTTGCAATGCAGGTCCTCCTCAGGACTGCAGTTTCCAAGCTTCCCCACTCAGCTCCTTCAGACTAGCCAGCAACATTTAGCAAACAGCTGGTTGAACATCTGCTGAGCTCGTTATAGGAGTTACTTCTCAGTGCAACGCGGAGCCATGTTGTGATGACTTCCTCAAGGCAGAGCTTCATTTAGAGCAGGAGTTTTTAAAGAGACAGAGACCCAATTTAGCTTTAAACTACGAAGTCCAATTTCTTTTAAGTCAAACTTGATGTGTAGCATTTTCATAACAGCTGAAGGCTTCTGTTGTGGCAGCTAATCCCTTTAATACCACTGGGTCTTTAGCTCTTATTTCTTCTCCATCCATCCTGAAACAGGCTTAGCACATACAGCCTCCACCTCTGATGTATCTTGAAATTCACACTAAAGTGTGTGTATAACCATATCGCTCTCTAAAGACTCTAGTCATTCATTAATCCAGATTTACAGGTCAAAAGCTGAAACTAATAAACCGGAGTTACTTTGTCGCATCCTGCATAGTTTTGCTGTTATCTGCTGAAAGTCTTGCTCTCTCTCACTCTCATGCAGCCTAAATGTCATTCAGACACATCTCAACATGTCTAGAATGTATAATTGCGCAATACAGCTTTTAGTATAGTTTCTTGGACTGTAAAGCTATCACAACGAAACTGTTCTGCAAAAAAAAAAAAAAAAAAAAAATGTCCGTCCCTGGAT